GGGACACCACTTGTCACCAATCTCCATACCCTGTTAGGTTGCTGGAAGTTATTATAGAAAAGGAGTAAGATTAGAACACAGAACAGACAGTGTCTGCTCTTTCATAGCAGTCGCTGCTTAAATTTATTTTTATTTTAAAACAACTGTAATATTGCTTATCTACTTTGGTATTCAGCTTCATTTGGTCAGTAACAGGTGGAGAAAAGTTTTCAACTTTACTTTTTTCCTTTTGGCCAAAGTGCTTTGCAACCCACTTACAAAAGCTACATATATACGTTCTGGAAATTCATCAGCTCAGCCACTACACTACACAGTAACCCAAGAGAAGAAGCAAAGGAGGATTTGCATGGCCCCATGAACTAGCAGTAGTCAAGTGAATAAAGTGGGAAAAAAAGGCCTGAGAGCCTGACTTTCACAGGAAATGCTCTAAGTCACTCATTCACTACACCAACCCTTTTGCTGAGGCATCAGAGATGTATGTGGTGATTCATAAGATACTGTCCTTTTGGTGTGGGGGATGAAATCCTACCATCCTGAAGAACTTCTCTCCTAATTCTCCCATTTCTCAAGAAGATGAAAGCAACAAGTGAATTTTGTATTTGTGTACAATGGGAGTGATTGCTCATGATCTCTCATTGCCTGCAGCTTTGGAATTGTCATTTGGGAGGTACTTATGCAGACGAAACCTTATGCAGGTAAATATGAACACTACTTACATGCTCTGCACTTGTTAAATGTTTATTACAGCCATTTTTACAGAGAAAAAGCCCAATGCACGTTGCTTTTTTGCAGGAGCCAATATGATGGCCATTATAGTCAAGGTTGCAGCAGGAAAGAGGCCCTGCCTAGAACCCATCAGCGATGACTGGCCAGGGGAATGCCAGCAGATGGTTGACTTGATGAAGAGGTGTTGGGACCAAGACCCTAAACAAAGGCCAAGCTTTACAGGTGTAGTAGCTGATTGTCATATGGATTAGCCAAGAGTCAGCTGCATGGATTAACAAGTCGGGGATAAGCTTGCATATAACTCTTTGCCAGTTAAATTGCCTGTTGCCTTGGAAATGTTTGGTACCCAATTTTCCCTATCTTTCCTTCCTCCTCATGTGGAGGATATGTGGAAGACTTCCACAACCTTGGGTACTGACTGGGTTCTGAACATGTGGGTAATCTGCACAGCTAACAGTCTTTTTGTTCTGGTAGATATCCCTGTAGAAACAGATGTGCTTCTGTCACTGATACAAAGCCTTGTAGTAGATCCAGAGAATGAGCGCCTTGTTAGGAAGATGTCCCACAAGCCTGCCGTCTCTGGGAACCAGCAGGTGAGGAAGGCTTCCCAGTACCACTCAGGAAATTCCACTGAGTCCTTTCCCTGTTCTTATCAGTTCTTGAGAATGTGTTTCCTCTCTCATCACTGTTTATCATCAGACAACAAGGGCACCTCAGCAAGCTTTGCGTAGTGTGTTTGCATAGGTTGTACATCTGTAATTCATTTATGGGGATAGGAGACTTGCAAATAAGTTTAGCAAGCTGGCCAGTGTGCTAAATGGTAGACAGTCTGAGAGGAAGACCCTTCTTTCTAACTGCTCAGATGAAGTGGGTTTATGATATAGGCCTCTGTCATTAAAAGAAGTTCAAGCAGACACAGAATTACAGGGGTTTGCTCATGGCACTGGCATATGTGCTCAAATTACCATTTTCCAGCTCCGTGGAACTGAGGACATTCCAGTTTAAACAACTCTTGCAGAAGAAAAAAAAAGTTTTAAAACCCTGTGTTTCTCTGACTAAGAAAAAGATCAGGTTTCAGGATAGTCACAATTTTAGCCCAGCTAGTGGAGTGTAATTGTGCCTAGAAGTCTGCTTCATACAGGGAGAAGTAGCAGCTGAGAACTATTGCTATTTTGAGGTTTTGCCTGTGTAGTCAGCAAGAAACAAGATACCTGAGTATAGAGGATTGAGGAGGAGGGGGTGTTTGGGTTCCCTATACAATAAGGAAAATTACTAGCTGGGATGCTGCAATACGGAAGTAGAATATATGTATGTTTGGGAGCAAATGAGTAAGAGGAGGAAAATCTCATTGATATCCAGAGATCATTTTCAGGCTCCCGCATTCCTGTTAGTGTCATGATTTGCCCTGCTGAGTTTTGGATGCAATAACAGGATTGGATAAAAACCACTGGAATGACAACACAAAATTCTAGAGCAGTAGCAAAGAACTCTGTGCAAACATTATAGAATGCAAATAAGGAACTTTGTCTTATGGTTTTTTCTTTTCTCCTTCCTGAAAATGAGAGTGACAAAGAAGAGTTCACCTTCCCCCAAGACAGGAGAAGTGCTGGTAAGTAGGGGAATTTCTTTATAATTCAAAAATAAAGAAGGGGAAACCTACAAAAAATAGCCTATTTCCTCGCTTTCCAGTGATAAGGATGTGGCTCAAGAAAGTTTTCCATGTGGGTGACTTTTCTTTTTAAGTTAAGGAAAATGAACTATACAGGAAATAGCAGATATAGTTCTCATGAGGGAGAGGCCAATTGTCTCACTGCTTTCTAAGAGACTACATGGAGCAGTCTTGCCACATTTCATACTCCCTATGTCTAAAATGCCTTTTATTTCATTTCATGCTATGAGGATTCACATGCTCTCCCTCCTATCTTGTGCACACCAAGCTACTTCACTTGGTCTTAATCTCTTTCTCCTATTTTATTTCCCCTGCCTTTAGAAACTGATAATCAGGAGGTTCATATCCCACCTTCTTACAGTGAGGCTGAAAGTCCAGAGGACATCCTGTCTGAGGAAATCTGTAGAGTCCATGAAAATGGCCTCACATTGCTTCACCTCATGGTGATCCAGGGAAATGTGGAAAAGGTGAAGTTTCTCCTGAGCTGTAAAGCCAATGTGAACAGCCGGGTAGTCTGTGGCTACACCCCACTCATTATGGCTGTTCAGAAGAGGTCACCAGAGATCTGCTCAGTTCTGCTAGAGCATGATGCGGACATCAATATGCCTGATGATGATGGTTGGACACCTCTTCACTTCGCTGCTCAGAATGGGGATGACAGAATTGTACGCCTCTTGCTGGACCACCAGGCACAGGTAAATGCTCAAGAGCATGACGGGTGGACCCCTCTGCACTTGGCATCACAGAACAACTTTGAGAACGTGGCCCGAGTACTGCTATCTCGCCAGGCTGACTCCAACACTCAGGAGGCTGATGGGAAAACTGCCCTGCATGTGGCAGCTTGCTTTGGACATGTCAGCTTGGTGAAACTGCTTGCCAGTCAAGGAGCGGACCTGGAGAAAAAGCAGAAGAACCATAGAACCCCACTTCATGTTGCTGTGGAGAGGGGGAAGTTCAGGGTAGTCCATTATTTGCTGAAGAATGGGACCTCTGTCAACAGCCTGGATCAAAATCATTACAGCGCCCTGCACCTGGCTGTGGTGAGGGGGAAGTATCTCATCTGTGAGAAACTCATCAAATACGGAGCTAATGTGGAGCTGAGGACAGACAAAGGTTGGACTCCCCTGCACCTGGCTTCTTTCAAAGGACACATTGAAATCATCCACCTGCTAAAAAACAGCCACGCCAAACTGAATGCCAAAGGAAGCATGGACTGGACACCCCTTCACTTGGCTACTCGCTACAGCGATGAGCCAGTAGTCTCTGAGCTATTGAGATGTGGGGCAGATCCCAACATCGCTGAGAAGTCAGAGTGGGCCCCCCTCCATTTTGCAGTCCAGCGGGGCTCCTTTTTGACCGTCATCAATCTTCTGGAGTGCAAGGCAGATGTCAATGCTAAGAACAAAGTGGGTTGGACACCCTTGCACCTTGCTGTCCTCAAGGGCAATATGGCCATTATAAAGACCTTGATTAAGGCTGGTGCTCTGCTTGACCTGGAAGATACCACTGGCTGTACAGCCCTCCAGTTGGCAATTAGACATCAGAGAGAAAACATCATTACTCTGCTTCAAGGCAAGGACTCGTTGATGAATAAATTGGGGAATAGGACTCTGGTGAACGATGCTAAGATTTCAAGACCCAAATTTGTTCCAGGAAGGACAGATTTGTAGATTCATCAAGTCTGGCATTTATGACTTGAGTTTTCCCATATCAGGTGCTATGCCTTAAACCATCATATCCTGTCAGCTGGTGACTGCAGGAAATTTTTTTTTTTTTTTTTTTTATGGAAGTTTCTAAGCATGAGCACGAAAAGAGTAAAAGAAAATGGAGCTGCAGAAGGAAGCCGACAAGTTATTTTCGAGTCTGACCAAGTTTGTAGAACATTTTGGCTTGGTGATGCTGGCTTTCGGCAATGCTTTCCTGTTTTAATACTTACTGTGCAGGGATGGAAATAGATATATGTACTCCCTTTCACACAGGCAATGCTGAAACTGTGCACAGCAGCCCATATATGTGTCTTCCACAGATTTTATTGCTTTTATTCCATGCTTTCCTACAGAGCAAATTGGTGTAAAATGGCCTTGGCACAGGTGGGAATTGAATCATGAGATTCTCACCTGCTGCTGGAAATAGACACTAAGCATATGGTACAGCAATGTTTCAGATTTTCTGACATCTAATTTTTGTAACAAGAATAAAATAAAACAAGGAAGGAAGAAAAATCACTAGTAGAAAGTATTTAAATGGATGCAACACAGAGAAAAAGAAATTCCAGAATAATTCCACTCCATCCCTTCAGAAAAAAAGAGCCAAGGGCTTTTTTCCTAAGCATTCAAATTACTTACTGACTGCCTCCACACTTCAGACTTTAAACACTGAGGCTGTCATTAGAAAGATGGCTCTACAGATAAGTCAAAAAGTGGGTGCAGTTCTGAATCCTGTTCCCTGCCATGAGGGCTACCAATAATCTCCAGTCTTAACTACAAAATGCTGCTGTGGGTGTTTCATAGACTGGTTGAAAGAGTTCCTACTTAGAAAAGCAGTATCTAATTTAGGTTACCCCAAATTCTCACAGGCTTTTTTTTTTTTTTTAAGAGCACTGAGCAGCTGGGAAAATTAGCAGGTACTTACTCTGTGGAAATGGACAGGTGGGGCTTATAACAGTCAGCTGCAGGTATTAGCTTAAAAGGCTAGTTTCTAAGAGCCTTTGTGTAGTCTTTGAGGAGATGGGGTCTTCTGGAAAGTGGTGCTTAAGGTATTGAATTCGATTGCCTAGATTCAATCTTTTCTGCTGAAAATATGCTTCTGTGTATATTTCTGTGGATGAGTAGAAGAGGCTTTATGACAAATGCATCCTATTTTCATGCCTGGTCCTATTTGTGGGGGCTGTTTTTAGAGGTGAAGAATCGGGGAAATTGCTCAACAGTAAGTTAGGTAGCAGCATAGGTCACTTGGTATGCTGGCTGGAGAGCAAAGGAGACTTTCTAGCCCCAAAGAAGAAGTTGATACACAAGAGAACTGGCTATTTTCAGGTCAAGGTTTAAGTCATGTCTCATTCTTGATCTCCATCAGGAGGATGTTCTAGAGCTTGATTACTTCTCTGGAGAACATACAGTCTTCATGGATTTGATTCTTTTGTCACAGTAAGTAGCACTTTTGTGCAGCTTGTGACAATCCTACCATGATTTGCTAAGCACTTCCAAAACGTGCCTGGGATGATGACTTACTTTCATCATCTTAGCTGGAAAGATGCTGCAATGTAACCAAATAATGCACAGCTCTGCAGAGGAGAAGATGCATCTTTCCTGATGGACATTCTTAGCTGGGAGTCATTACTTTAGCAAGTGTTGCTTTTTATCCTTTATAGATGGAGAAATAGAAAAGTCTATTTGTGCATGCAGTGCACTTCAGGTCCCAGCAAGCAAGCCAAAGCAATAATGCAAACATGTAATTTGCTTCCTACAGTGAGAGAATGGTGGGCTCCAGACGAATAGGCTTACTAGGTCTGAACAGACAGCTGTTAAAGCTCCAGTAGCTGTGCTTGGGCTGAAAAGACATGTAACTGTGCTGGAGACTGTCTCCTCTAGCTGAACATCAGTAACTGTTTGCTCTGCTGGTACTCCAGTGTCGTCTTTAATGCTTTAGCCGTTTGAAATGTTGTACTCGTTGTTTACCTTGTGCTAACGAGGGTGAATGGCATACGAAAGGGAGTTCCTTTTCAGCTCTGGCCAACAACTAGAATCGCTCTAGTATGGGGAGGTTCTGTTCAGTGGCTTCATCTAGGCTTGGTGTGTCTGAGAAATACTTACTGTCCAGGAAAACCTGGTAGTTTGATCAGGACAGAGCAGAACATTAGGTTTATAATGCTCTGTGAGAACTAAGCTATGTTGTGATGTGTGAGTCATAACTATATTTCATTGTTTAATACAGCATGATTTTCTGTAGAGTAGCTTTAATCCACTGAAGCTCCCTGGACTACACTAAATAAAAGATCAAGAGGGATAATTGTAATGACAGTGCCTGCTATTAAAAATCTCTTAGTAACTTCCCATGCATTTATTTTCCTTTTGACATTTGACCAGTTGAACATATCATGAGGACATTATTATAAACTGGGTAGAGACAGGGGTCAGCCTGCATCTCCAAGGACAGGCCATGGGCTTCTTTTCTGTGGGAGAGACTGGATCAGCCGCAACTCTGCAGAACAGCAGATGTGGGAGTAAGGTGCTTTCCTGAACCACAAAGGTAGGAAGCTGACCAGTTTACTCTCCCCTTCTATTGCAGGGCATAGAAGCCTTTGGCTTCCAGGTTTACCTCCTGCTTGAACGGGGAGGTCCAGTACCCTGCCTTGCACAGTGGCAATACAATTAGTATCTGTGAAATAGGGCCTTGCAATTATCTGCCTTCAGAACTTAAAGGAAACCTTCCAAACCTTTCATATGCCAAAAAGGTTTTCTTCTGGCTGTGTACAAGAGAGTAACTTTCTTACATTATGAAGAGATATAGCTGATGTTGTTTTCAGTTGAACCATTTTCTGTGGGTAAATGGATTATGTTACTCATGGAAAAAGTTGAAGTGATTCATTAAGTGCTGCCTGATAACATCCAAATCTTGAGAAGGTTAAAAAGCCCAACCTCTACTAATTTCATTTTCATTTTTACATTAACTTAAAATATTAATGTATAATATATTTAACTCTGTTTTTCATGATGCTTTGACACCAAAGCAAAACTTCTAGATATTATTTTAAAATGGGTTATATTAAAATGATTCCTTTTTAGCATTTGCCATTGCACAGCTCCTTGTTTCACCAGGTTATGAATTGAAATGCTGGTGAGGTTTTATTTTGCGGGGAGCTTAAAAATGTACCCTTTTTTTTGCAACAAAAACAAGCTTGAAGTATTCAGAAATTCCTTGAGAATGGAAATAATATTTGCCTACCTGCTCATGCTGTCTACCTTCCAGAGCCAGCTTATGATGCAAGTTTTCAAAGGGATGGAGGAGGAAAGGGGTTGTACAGAACGGGATTAGAGGTTGCTATAATTGAGACGAAGGAACTATGTAGCTTGTACCCATGATACAATATGGAGTGAACTTTCCATCACCTGTGCTAATATCTCCTCAGTTTCCTCCCTTTCTTTCCCCAGTTGTATCTCCCCAAGGGACACCTTGTGTAATGTAAATATTGAATATGCATAAGATGGATTATTTCAGATGACTCCCAGTTTAGTTCTTGTTCATGGGTGATGTTCACTTTTGTAAGAATGGAGCACTATGCACAGAGAGAGCATCTGCAGAATTGCCCTTCAGATGATGGGGGAGCATCGCTTGCTCAATTCGGTCCCTGTTCTTCTTTTTAGCCATTATAGTATTTCCCTGCCAAAGAGCTAAAGCCATCTGTTTAGCTTTGAAGCCTAGCTCTGAAATCCAGAGCTGTTTCCCAGTGTTGGCTGCTAAATGTGCCCTGTCTTCAGTCCAGGGCATGGGCACAGGCAGTGTTTTGAAAGAGGCTGTTCTGCTGCTAGTGCTTTTTCTTACTCATCAGTTGAAGTGGAAGAGAGGAAAGATAGTGACATCTTTTGTATTAAGTCAGTGCCCAAGGAATTGGGAGAAGGCAGCTAATTGAAGACTAAATGCCAAGGTCCCAAATGACTCTTAGAATGCCACCCTCCTCCAATGGACCTTTCACACACAGAGATGCCTGAGTGGGGTTATCCATTTCTCATTAATCAGGGAACGCCTGCAATTTAATGCACTGAAACTAGTCACAATTGTTGAGCTCTGTGAAATGATACAGTTTTTGCTCTGTCTGCTCTCTGTGCTTCTCAGTGCCTTGATATGAGCTTTCCATTCAAGATGGTTTTATTATATCGTGCAGAGAGCAGGACTGTAGCTAGTATCTTCTGTTTCTGATGGGTTTGTGTCACAGGAGAATGATAAAGACTACTTTTGCACACATCTTGCTGATGTTATAGTTATCTTGGATTCTGTGGCATGCAGAAGGCAAATTGCATTACATGTCATCAACAATGGCAAAATTGGGAATGGATGTCTGGCTAACACCACCTTACGCATTCTGGGGGAGGATTCCTTCATAGTAACACTTGCAATGGAAATAGTTAAACTTTGCTCCCATAAGAGTGTCCTTCAACACCTCATATTCAGACATTCCCATGGGGTGCCCTAGCTTCATTATTTAACAGGAGTATTTTGAAACAAGTACATTTTTTCTTTGCTTAACTGCAATTGGGCATCAGTGAGCTGTCTCCAAAGCTCTCCAGAGAGTGTTCAGGGTTGCACAGCAAGCCTCCTTTCTCCTAAGTTCAGAACAATGGGGAGCCTGGGAGATTGGTGGCCCAGCCAGCCTCACAGCTATCAGGCATCTGCTGGGAGGCTCACAGGATGCTGCAGATGGGAGAAACCACAGACCTGGGTGCAAGGGGGAGAGAGAGAAGGAAGAAGCCGCTGAAAAAGTCAGCATGTGAGTCCTGTTTTTCTTCACCTTTGTGTTAAAGATTAAGGTGATCCTAAACTCGACATGCCGCTGGCAGTGGCTCCTGTGTGGGGTGGAGATACAGGTGCTTTCTCTGTGGAAAGGCCCCAATAGCACCAGTAGCACCACAGCAGTGCCTGGGGCTCCAGTGGAAAAAGCAGGACTCAAACCTGTGCA